TCACAAAATTCATGTAGTCTCATATTTTTGTCATCAAATAAGAGTGGATTTCAATTCCTGTAGAAAAGTGAATTTGAAGAAATTTCATTAGTGTGGATTGAAAATGAAATGAAGAAAAAAAAAACGCAAAGAAAAGTATTAAAGATTTGAAATTGTTGAGAGTGTTTAAAGCATCTAAAGCAGTATATATAGTAAAAAGGATAGTTTAAAAAATTTCATTTGTTTTATCCTGTACTTAAGCCTATTTAACAGAGTACACCATAAAAATATTTTGTGTTGTACATCGGATACCAAACAACATATGAGACAAAAAAATTATTCAGTGACTCAACTATTTGTCTCGTACTGTTGTTTTATCTGTCATGTATTATATGTGTATCAAATGCACTCTTAATAATCATTATTTAAGGAGACAATATTGTAATTAATTCACATTATTGAATTTTAGCACCATTGAACAAAAATAGAGATTATTCATATTCTAACTAAAAGCTAATAAAATACATAACAAAATCAAATAAAAACAATTAAAAACATATTTTAAATTAAAAATATAATGTTTTAATTAGTCATTAAATTTATTAAAAACTAATAATTTAATTTTATAACTAATAGGAAATATTTGAATTATAAAAAGTAAAATAGTTTTGGAAAATAAGTGATTTTGAGCACTAAATTTTTTAAGTAGAGTATTCTATTCTATCTTTAATAATATATAGATATAGATTTTATTTCATTAAATAATAATATTATAACATTGTAGCATTTTTTTTTTTGGTAGAAAAACATTGTAGCATTTGTGATGTACTGTGTTATTATTTTGTTTTACCAAAATTTAATGTATTTAACTTTAAGTTAAATTATATTTTTAATTTTTTATCTTATTTATTAAATTTATTTTTGTTTATTTATCTTTTAAAATGTTCATGTTAATCTTTTATTTATTAAATTTGAGTCGATTTGATCATTTTGAAACAATGTGTATTTTTATTTATTTATTTTGAGATATGATTTTGAAATATTTTTTTTGATTGATTCAATACTTAAAACTTGCCTTATTAGATTCATTTGTATGAAATTATTATACACAATAAAAAATCAAACAAAAAAGTGTAATAAACATAGTAAAAATATATCATAAAAAAAAAACATAGTAAAAATATTTCATAAAAAAGTCAAAAAAATATATTTTTATACAATTTTTTAGTTGCTAGTAAGATATATTTTCACACAATTTTTGTCATGTTTATATCCCTTTTGAATTCGAATGTAAATTGAATTTCATAGTTTTTATATAAGTAAATTTAATATTATGATTTTCACATCTTAAATTAGTCGAAAATTGATTCAAAATCATGTCATAAAATTAAAAAATTATTAATTTTAAAATTACCAAATCAATTCAAATATAAAAGATAAAAGAGTAAAAATGAACATTTTAACAAATAAAGGACTAAAATAAATCTAAAATATAAGATAAAAGATCAAATATATAATTTAGCCTTAAATTTATTAAATAGTGTTAGGTATAAAAAGTTTAATTGCTTAGGAATATTTAATAAAAATAACAATTTGAAAAAAATATACATTTACATGACATTGTAAAAGTTAAATTATATATGTAGTGGTCAATGCAACATAGGAAGGGAAAATTTAAAATTTGAAAATAATTATATTTATTTTATTATATTATATATATTAGTATGTCAATGTATGTAGTATTTTGTTAAAAATAATAAAAAATAAAAAATAAAAAATAATAGAGGTTACGAAATTGTAAATAAAGTGAAATAATATATAATTAGAAAAGAGTAAAATAAAAGTGGTTACAAAATAAGAGAATTGTTATTATTGATAGGGTGAATAATTAATTTTGACACACAATTTTTTTCTTCTATTTGGTGGTTAATAAATAATATAATATATAAATATCTAAAAAATGTGAAAACTAAAGGGAGATATAAGTATAAACTAATATTTTATCATGTGTAATGCACATATATACTTATTATATATAATTAAAATTTATAATAAATTTTATATAAAAATATTATATGTAGATATATAAGTTATATTTAAAATTTGTACAAATAGATACTTTAAACATATAAATCTAATTTTAGATTTATAATAAATAATTTATGTAGAATATTTTTATTTATTGATAATTTATTTTAAAATATTAATTTTTAATTTATAATTAATTATGATAAATAAAATTTGAATTAAATAATAAGTTAAAAAATCTTTACAAATCTTTTTGTTGAATTTTTTTTAAAAACACTCTCATACAAAATATGAGCTCATATTTAATATATAAAGATTGATAATAATATAATAATATTATAACATTGTAGCATTTGCGATGAATAGCTTTATCATTTCGTTTTATCAAAATATATATTTTTTAAAATTTATTAAATAATATTAGATAAGAAATGTTTAATTGCTAATGAATATTTAATAAACAAAAAATTGAAAAAATCTACATGCATATGTTGGTGTAAAAGTTAAATTATACATTTATTAGTGTAATGCATATTTAAATTTTGAAAATAGTTATATTTATTTTATTTACTAGCCCTTAGTAGATAGTTTAGGACATTATGTGAATCATGTTTATGAAAAAAAAAAAATATAATAGTGAAATCAAGACACTTCTATCTTTATGTATTTTATTTTTAAATAATTTAAAATAAAAAATTAAAATAATAGATGTTAAAAAATATAAATCAAGTGAGATATAATATATAATTAAAAATAGTAAAATAATCTTAAATAAATTTGGAGACCAAAAGTGTTTAGAAAATAAAAGAGTTGTTATTTTTTGATAGAGTGGATAATTAATTGTTTCATACATTTTTTTTTCTATTTTACCTTTAATAGATGTGATGGTGAAAAGAAAATAATGTATAATAAAGAGATATAATTATCTAAAACATATGAAAATCAAAGGGAGATACCCCTTTATACATAATAAGTATATATAATATATAAATTAAATTATGCATATATTTTAAAAAATTATAAGTATTCAGCATAATCATTATATTTTAAAAATAATAATATAAATTAATATATTACCTTATTTATTAATTACCATCCAAATACAAAACTAAATATAATTGATAAAAAATTATTAAATTATAAAATAAAATGTAAACTGCACTTGCACCTTTATATCTTTTTAAGATTGCACTTACTAATAAGAAATTGTGTTTATGTTTATAAGCAAGAAACTGCATACAAAAAGTTTGAAGAAATTTTGAATTTTTTTCCCATCATACATTATATTGTACATTTGTAGAATTTAGTTTAATGGATAGACAAAATTATCTATACGGGATGTAATGATAGTTGCTAAATTTTTTATTTGAATTTTTTAGTGGTTAATTTCTTATGGAGTTAGAGTTTCTATTGATTTTTTGAAGCAAGAGTTTCTATTGATATGCTTGCATTTGTTGTGCTTTTAGGTGAGTTTGTAGAAATTAATATCTTTATTCCTCAAAATTTATAAGTGTATGATAATAACATATTTTGTTTCTTTTATTGGGTGAGAAAAATAACACTATAGATGTAAAAATAACCCTAAAAATTAAAGTGAGATATCCCATTTATATATAGCACAGATAATTTTCTTAAAAAAATAATTCATCTTCTATTTATTAAAGACTATCTTGCCAGAGAGATATTTTAAGGACTTTTCTTTAATAAGAAAGATTTTTGAGATTCTTTTAATTTTATATCTAATTTAATTTTTATTTATTATAATTATTTATGAATTAAATTTTAATATTTTTAAAATAAATTATCAATAAATAAAAATAGTATTGTATTATAATATAAATTATTTATAATAAATCTAAAATATAATTTATATATTTAAAAATAACTATTTATTTAAATTTTAAATATAATTTATATATTCAAGCATGATATTTTATTTATATGCATACTTTATTTTAAATTTTAATCATATAATAAATAGCTAATCTATATATTATATATGTTAAAATACTAGTTATGCATATAAATAAATACAATATTTGAATGTATAAATTACTTTTAAAATTTAAATAAATAGATATTTTAAATATATAAATTATATTTTTGATTTAATATAAATAATTTATACTTACTGCAATATTCTTTTGTTTATAATTGATTTTAAAATATTAAAAATTTAATTCATAAATAATTATGATGAAAAAATTAAACTAGATATGCGATTAAAAATATTTCTAAAAATTCTTTCATTAAATTAAAAATATTTTCATGCAAAATAATAGTTCGTATTTTATATATAGAAGCTAACAAGTATTTTATTTTTGGAATGTATAAATATGCTTATTATATATAATAATAATTAAAATTTATAATAAATTATATATATAAATATTTTAAATATATAAATTATATTTTAAATTTATGATAAATAACTTGTATTGTAAAAAAAAAATATTTTTATTTATTGATGATATTTTTAAAATATACCCCACAAAATCTCTCAGTAAAAACAATCGTAAAAATATTTTTGTATAAAATAGAAACTTATGCTTAATATATAAAAATTGATTAATTATCATAAATCTAAAATATAAGTTATATAACTAAAACTAATTATTTATAATGAAAATTGATTATAATATAATTATATATTAAAACTTTATTTTTATAAAATAAAAATTATTTAATATAATACATAAATTAAAATATTAGTTATAAATAAATTACATGATATTATATTATAATTAAATTTATAATAAAAAATAAAATACTTTTAAATATGTAAGTTAAATTTTTAATAATTAAATATTTTTAAATATATGAATCATATTTTATATTTATGATAATTAATTTATAAATATTTAAATTCTTCCTCTTTTTTCTCTCTTTTAATGTACTATAAAGTAAATATTAAATTCCTAAAGTTGCGCATAGAAACTAGAAAGTAAATGGAATAGAGGAATTTATGCTCTTCAATTTCACGTCACTTTGTTCTGGGCTTGGTTTTTGGGCTCTTTCGGTTCATCACGTTTTCGGTTCGACCCGACCCGAACCGACCCGAACCTTTTCCGTTTCGCACAGTGATAAATAAATTCTCATCTATTCTATCTGTATCTTCTCGTTCTCTTTCAAATTCTCAATCCTTCACTGCTACTCATCAGGTACTTTTTATTTTTATTTTTAAAATTTTGTTGCTTAATTTTTGCTTTCAGAATAAGCGTTAATGGTTGTTGTTGTTGTTGTTTTATTTATTTATTTATATATATTTTTTATTTCTACGATTAGTATTTTTTTTTCCGTTACCAACAATTCGATTTTATCGTTTCTTCAATCCTTTTTTTTTTTTTTTGTTAATTTTGAGGTGTTCATTATCATTTTTTGTACCATTTTTCGGATTTCTTATCTGGGGTTGATGGTGCTTGTTTATGCATTTGATTCAGGTTTCATTTTTTATTTATTTATTAATTCGTAGCCAATTTTGTCTGATATAAAATCGTGTTGATACACTGAAGTAACTTCGTTTTCACCTTTTCTGAGGGTAATTTCAACTGATTTTTACTTAATTTCCCCCCTGTTTTGTGATTTGTGTGGTTGTCATTCAGTGAGGATAGATTATTGCTTGTGATTTATGGGATTTCATTTTTTTTTTTTGATGAAGATGAACGTTGCCTTTAATCCTGAATTCAATTTTTTGTTTTATTTTTTAAAGTTGCTATTCTGCTTTAGGTTCAGTGTGATTGGGTTTAGTTTCCAATGCCATTGCTGTTGTTTGTCTTTGTATATTGTAATTGATTTGAAACCCTATACTGTTCGCCTTTGCTTTACGTTAGGGCTCATTTCAGTGATTTGTGTATGCCTCGTACAATGGAATTTTGCTTCAGAATTTCGATAGTTTTTTTCTTCTTTTCAATCTTCAACGTATGAAAATTGTTTAAAATTGTGATAGAAGCAATATTGCTGCTGCAGAGGTACATGCAACTGCAACAGCCCACAATTGGTGACTTAAATCATAGAAAATTCTGCAACGCAGCAGAGTTGCGACACCATTCTATTCTACTTTTTTCTGTCAAAAAATAAACAAAGATACAGGACTTTAATCTTCTATATATTCTAATAAGTATGGTGGTGTGGGATGTTGGGAGCGAGTCAACTAATTAGGGTTGGTTGGGAGGCTGCTTGATGCATTTTAGAAAAGGGGAAAATGACTGTGGAGTGAAAAATAGGTTTGGTTGATTTTATTTACTATAGAGTTATATTTTTATGTGACTGCAACTGCAATTTAGAATCATGTTCTGAGTGCTAGGTTCCAATTGTGCCATTGATAGACAAAATACCTGCCTTGTTGTTTGTGTTTGTGTACGTTTTCTAGGAAATTAGTTCCTTGTCCATTGCCTTTGACTAGAATCTCTGTCACAAGGTTTCTATGCTAGCATGCTGATAACTTTTGTATATCATAGTATTTTAAAATCCAGTCAATTATGTAGCTTAACATTGTTAATATGGGTACAAAACATTGGCATTTTTTCTTCATGATGCTATGTTTTTGTTTGGATTTTAAAATTTTTTCTTATGTCTTTAATGTTCTTTTCAAAACAGGATTTGCTTATGCTATATCAGAAGCTAAATCTTTTTAACTTCAACTCTACAACAGTTTTTCTCCGTTTCTGTTAAAAAACTTTTTTTTTTCTTTTGTTTTTGCACAAATAAGATAATTTTGAACGGTGCTAAGCTTTAGATTGCCCTGTTAAACTTTAGATTTGTGCTATCCACTGGATTTTATTTTATTTTAATTATTTTTTACAAATAGTAAATGAAATTAATTATTTTGGAATATATGAAAAATGTGGATGAAGTACCCCTGATTTGTTTGTTCTGTGTGGTGAGCGCAAAATTATTTCCTTGTCTATTCTTATATTATGAAGTTCTTTGTCTGACATTTGAAGAGAATGTTTTTTGTGCCATATATGCTTGGAACATTTTTTACGAATAGCTTTACTAATTTTTGTTGAAGGACAGAAGCCAAATTTTTGTCCCAATGTCCAGTATTTGCTATACTTTGGTTCATATGGTTGGAGTTGTAAACTTTTGCATTCTTAAGGAAATCTCTTTCACAGTACTAGGGAGTTTGGCTTCTGTATAGTGTAAACGTCCTTTAAAGGGCTTTCCTTTGCATATATGTTGAGGGTTTCGGTTGTTTTGTTTTGCTATGTTGATATCTCTTGTTCTCTGATGTTTGATTTTTCTTTTCTTTTCTTTTAATTAGGATCTGGTCCTCCTATCCATGTGTATTATTCTCTACTCTGTCCTTTTGAATATCCTCCCATTAAAAAACTTGAGTATCTTATGCATTCACACGATCTTAAGTTTTCATTCCTGTAATATTTTCCATTATGTACTTCACAATCATTTTCTGTTAAATATTGCGGGGTAAAGTGTTTGTGTGCATTTATAGCATTTGAATATGGAGAGTTCTTAGAGTCAATAGTATTTTTTCACACACAGAAGTTATTGTCATTTATATTTATTACTTTACTGTTCTATGCAATATTTCATGATTGCTTTATATGATTTTAAAACAGGATATGGCAGAGGATATGAAAATTGATCATGTTGTGGAAGTTCCTGATACCCCAGATAGAATAACTGTAAGGTGTGATGATCAGAAATATTTAGGTAATCCTGAGACGAGGGGGAGAGCTTTTAATGTTGCTGATGAAATGAATAACCACAATAACTATATAATGTCCCCGTCGAAGGAATCTTATTCTTCTCAAAATGCTCCCATCTTTAGGAGAGCCCAAACTGGTAAGATTATTGGACTTGGGGCAGCACATTCTGATGGAGCTGAAAAGATGGAGAAAGGGAAAACTATAAGCTCCAAGTTTCCTTCTAAACCATCTCACTGTAGGCCTATTTCTATTTTGGATTTGTCTGAAGAGAATGGACAATTCCAACAACTGAAACCAGCTTTCTCAAACCGTGGATCAAGAGATAAAGCAACTGAAGACAAGAAAGCAGTCAATACCGATTCTTCTAATACATCTAGAAATGCCTTCACTGGAAAGTGTAAACTAGATAATAAAACACTTCCAGGTCCTAACATATCTGTGGACCGTGGCAAGAGTATTTCTTTGTATAATGATTCTCAATCACAAATTGAAAAGCAAGTGCCTTTGCCTCCTCGTGTTTCCACCACACCACGAGGTAGAGGGCACAAGAGATTGGTGCGAAATGGGTGCATTTCACCTCATAATATTGCAACAAGGGAAAAACAATTAGCTGAACAGAGCAACCATCAAACCAAGGATGTTGAACAGAGTCATGCTCTTCATTCAGTTTCTAGTAATGCTGTGTCGCCAATTGGTGTCAATGACATAGTTTCTGGAGAGAGAGGCAGTGGTAGAGTGAAAGGAAAGGAAGTACTTGCTCATCCTGCATCACATGGACATAATATCGAAACTTTACGCGCACCTAGCGGGTAATCTTGGTCTATTTTTTTTAATGTTTAAATTGATCATAAATTTGTTCTTTGGTTTATCATAACTTTTGGTATTACAATAGAGATGAAATGAGATTATCTCTTCTTTCATTATTAAAATGCACGCAAGTGGTTCATTTAGAGGTAAAAATTTTATCATAAAAATTTGCATGTATATTGAGTCTTGACTGTATGAATCTCATAACTATTGAACTTGGACTGTGTTATTGGAAACTTCTTAAAGTCTTTAAAAGAAATACATATAATTAGAACCAGGAGTGACTATGAAAAATTACGAGTCAAAGATAACTCTTCCTCTAGCATTATGGTAATTCTGATTGGCAGGAGTTTGTCTAAAAACCAAAAGAAATTCATTTTGAGAGGAAGGGTAGTGTGAACTTGTCTTGATGTATTTGTAGATATTTTTGATAACTAATGTGGATGTTGTAGTTTTGCAATCTTGTTTGAATATTTTTGTCAAATATATTCTTAACTAGGGAATAATTCCAAATCCTGTGGAGGTAGATATGAGTATCATCGATGTGCATTGCAAAACTTTTCTTTTTTGTTGGTTGTTAAATTCCCAACTTAATTGACACCTAATATTTGTAGAATCATTTTTGAAAGTGAAAAGGCATGATGTTTATTCATATATCATTGTTTACATGTTTAAATTGGTTTTGTCTCTTGTTTCTGTTGATTACTTATGCTGAGAATGTATTTGATGCTTCTTCATCAGTCTTGTGATCAATAATGAAGAGATCAATCGAATCAGTAAAACTATAAGACATTCACGTCAATACTCTGGGGGACAAAGTGGTTGGAGAACTACACATAATGAGAGGAATGCTGATCAAAACTTGTATGATGTAAATGGGCATCATTTGAGGAGAAATAATGATCTTGGGAGATTTAGTAATAGACAGAATACAAACAGAATGGACAGGAGAAACACTGGGAGTGGTCAAAGCAGCAAACACGTACATGGTTCTCTATCAAATCATGCATCTCAACAAACTTCTGTGATTATTCCAGATGTGGACCTGTCATCTGGAACCCGTCATACTAATGAGATTCTGACTAAGAGGCAAAGAAAACGTGAATCACCTTTGGGAAATCCTAATGAAGAATCTTATAGTTCAGACATTATGTTCCTTGGTTCATCTGGGGAATCATCAAGCTCATCCTGGAGCCCTGTCTTGGATCCTGAAGTGGTTGAGTTGTTATCCGCCCCCATGCCAAGGGGATCGAGCTCATCTCAGAGTCCTGTCTTGGATCCTGAAGTGGTTGAGTTGTTATCCACACCAAGGCACACCAACAGATTGTCTGAAGGTTTAGATGATAATGACAACAATAGCTCAGAAGCGCGGGCAAGACAAGTGGAAGCAGATGAGATATTGGCACGTGAACTCCAAGAACAACTGTATCATGATGATTCTTTTGAAGGAAGAGGGGTTGGTTTTTTTATTTTGTCTTTTTTATTTTTTTGCACACCTTTTATAAGATGTAGTTTAATCATATGTTTCTTATCTACAACAACTTCATCACGTGTTAATTTGCTGCAGATTGATGAACATTTAGCATGGGAGATGCAGCATGCAGAGAATCTTCTGCGGACATCTATTGATATTCATGACGATATGAATCATCCTGTAACTAAGCCTCTCTCTCTCTCTCTCTCTCTCGTAATTGAATTGAATATATTAAAGGGAACTCCTTTCTGTATAAGCTAAAGTTTCTTGTATAGGTCTGACAGAATATTTTGTTAAGAGGCTTTCTTTTATGAAACAAAGCTAAAATTTGTTCTGTATTATGTACTGATTTAACCCTTTTACATTTAAAAGAAAAGGTTTATGGAAGCTGTAGAATTAAAGGTGGAAATGCCTGCAAGGCATTTGTAAACTATATATGACATAACCTTTTATTTATCTTTATTTGGCATTTCTGTGTAGTTCTCTAAAATGGATCTGTAATGAGCATGGTTTTATGTTATTCTGTATCCATATTGTTGATAGTCGTTTCTTTTTTCCAGTATGCTTTTAATCATGTGTATCCCTTCCCTTCACTCAAAGTAGACAGTGGATTACTGGATTAGTGTATCTTGGAAATTTGAATGTCCCCTATTTTTGAAAGTATGGCCTGTATAGAGAGATAGTAATTGTCTAATTGATTGTGAGTGGATATATAACAAATATACTTTTAAATATGCAGGCACGGTTTCCCAGGGGAAATAGACAGCCTCGTACTCGGTCTCATCAAAATTCCTCTAGAAGGAGAGCTACGTCTCAAGTTTCTCTCTCTGATAGAATGTCTCAGTTGAGGAGTCACATTGCAAGTCGGACTCGGCCACCTATTATATCATCTAGAGGAAGAGGTCCCCAGTTTCCTCTTGATATGGACTTAGACATGGTATCTTCTTATCAATTCCCCTAGGTTCTATTCTTGTTTTTTTTTTCTATTTTACTTGTCTTTGCATGCCATGATGGCTGTGTAATGTAAATTTTCTTGCAATATCATGTTTTCTAATATCATGATCAATGCTTTTTTAGACTTCCTATATGGAAACATAAGTTTAAAAGTGTAATATTGAATATAAAATAATTTAAGATGTCTGGTTGACTGTTCAGTCTCTATGACTACTTTTTCTATGATTGTGATTGGTTGGCTTTACAGTTGTTTCAATAACATGGTTCTTAAATCTTAACACTAGTACTGACTTCGTGCTCCTATTTATTTCTACAATTGATAACTTCCAAATAACCTTTATATCCTTTATTTTTTGTTCACTGCAAGAAACTGCTTTCTTTATCCTTAGGACTTTCTTAGCATGAGACTTCCCTTTTTAGTTTTATTATGCACCTTTTCCTTCTGAGGGTTTTGGTAAAAATGAAGAGGCCCAAAACATTTTGGTGGCGTGCAGTAGTTTTTATTATTATTTCATTATTTTAATTAAGGCTTTTGTAGAGTATTTGGTTGTGGTATAATGCCTCCATATTTTGAAGGTATTCTTTGCCCCTAAGCTTCTTCTTTGGTACTCTACTAATTGGTTTTCCAAGGGAGTTCCCATTTTTTTTAAGCGGAGGGACCAGAGAGCCTTGATTTTTTTTGGTAGTTCCAACTTCCTGTTTTATTTATATCAAGCCAAACAAAATATATATTTACTTTTTTCCATATCATATGCTACATATTCAATGGTTTTCCATGTTAGGTGCTGTTTAGGCCAATTTTTTATAGTTAATATACAGATCTAGGCGTGAGTATTATGTTGGTATGATTTCAAAAAGTGAGGGACACAATGAAAACAAATAAAGCATAGAGATGAATGTGAAATTTGAAAATAAACTCGGGGATAAAAGTTAACTTTTAAAAGATGTCACTCCAAGTCATTCCATGTGTGTCACATCAGGTTCCACATAGAAGAGATCTCTAGGATTAATTGGAATTACGTATGAGGAAAAAATTTGCTACACTAAGATAAGGTTAGGGACTATTTTGAACAAAATAGAACTTAAGGGACAGAATTAAAATCTTAAAAACAAGAAAACTACAAAATTGTGTATTTTGCCTTGATGTTTAACATACTGATATTCTACCTTTGACTTTTTCTTGTGTTTTATCTCTTTTTTCTCATACATGTCTCCCTGCAATTTTTGTTTCCATAACTTTTAACATTTTCTCATCAAATTATTATAGGAAGATCTTTTACTTTTGCTTAATCTCAACATAAAAATGAGTCTCTTAGCATACACTGCTTCTTTGTATTTCAGAATTTTTATTATCCGAGTTTTTAAAATTTTGGATAATCCATTAGGATTAGGTGGTATTGCATAAGTATAATTTGAAATTTCAATGGCACCTATTGCTTCTGTCCAGAGAATTGATATATTGGAAGCTCTAGAAGATTCAATGGGGGATTTCAGTGATATGGGAATGGTTGATGGCATCTTTAATGCGCGGCATGACTTCAATGAGTAAGTTTGTATTGAATAATTTATGCACACGATTAATGCTTCATTCCTGTGTAGAATGATATTATGATACCTAACTGATTCTTCTCATTTCTTCATTTACAAGGTGGTGTCCACTGTCCAATATAAAAGTTATCACTTCATTCTGTATATTAAGTAGTACCGCACATCTTTAAAACATAAGTTTTTCTGTTGTGCAAAGGCTCCATAGTGTACTCGGTTTTGCATGTGTTTCTATTCCTTGATATCCAAATTTTGTTATGAAGTTCTTGTGTATGGTGGCTTCTCATTTGGTTAATGTTTTTTAATTTTTTACTTCTGTTTTGTATACAAAATGAATTTTAGGTTCATGCCCTCATGCAGAGGTGGGAACATAGTCATCTCTTCATTATGTTTATTAAGTAGTACTACACATCTTTAAAACACAAGTTTTTAAGTTGTTGCAAGGGCCCATAGCGGACTTAGTTTTGCATGTGTTTCAATTCCTTGATATATCTGAATTTTGTTATGAAGTTCTTGTGTATGGTGGCTTCACAATTTATTACAGAATGCCTTTCATGTTTGTTTTGTATAAAAATTAATATTAAGGTTCGTACCTTATGTAGAGCCGATTATGAAATGTTGTTGGCCCTTGATGAGGGAAATCACCAACATACTGGTGCTTCAACCAATCTGATCAATAGCTTGCCGCAGTCCACCCTCCAGGTAATTTATGACTGAAAATTAGTTATTCACTTGTAGGATGAACCCCGAACCTCTGTTAACTTTTTTTTTCATTTCATGTTTCGCTGTCTCAATGTCAGTTTTGGGGCAGTGAACCGGGTGAGGCAGAAAATAGGGGTTGTGGGAACTTGGGATTAATTTTAGATTCAATGCTGATACATGTCCCTGTTTATTTGCCGCAGACTAACAACTTCACAGAGGCATGTGCCATCTGTCTAGAAACCCCAGAAAAGGGAGAAACTATTCGCCACCTTCCTTGTTTACACAAATTTCACAAAGATGTAAGACCATTAAATGGATATATTTATTTGTTTATATGTAGAAATTATAAAATGCTAATTTGCATTAATTTATGTTATGGCAGTGTATTGATCCTTGGCTCCGTAGGAAAACATCATGCCCGGTGTGCAAGTCATCTATCACCTAATTTTGAGATTTAAATAGTCAAATGTATGGTGCTGCAGTGTGTTATCTCTGCCACCTCATTTTGTTTTTCAAGGTAAAAAGCCAAAGTTGAAACTGTCACAGACACATGCTACCTTTTCATAGTGTTTTATTTTATCATTTTGATGCATTAGATATTCAAAAGTGAATAGAAAGGTATTACAAGTTGGTGACTTTCCTGGTGCTGATATATTGTTACTGTGTTTTGAATTATGATTAGTTCTGGGACATGAATGATGCATATTGAGATAACTGTTCTGAATCACGGTGTTGTAATTGAACTTCTGCTGGTGGTAGTGAAGTCTGCAAAGCAGTGGCAACTGAAAGGTCATTGTTTCCTAAGACAGATGAACTACGAACATTTGGTCGATGGAAACAGATGGCAGCTACTATCATATGGAATTCAAAGTGAATTTGCATGTGGTAATTGCTAATGATGTTTATGATCATATTCATGTATCGTTGCAATGTTTTTCCCCTGCTGCATATAGATGGGGTAATTTACCCTTGAAAATAAAATGAAATATGTCAATTGAACTTGAATTGATTTTTCCCCCTTGTCAAATGAACGAGATTGACAATATTTTTTGCAACCTAATAATGATTGTTCTCTTTTAATCGAAGGCACTTTTAAGTTTGAGAGAATGTTTTCTATTTTTTTAATAATAAAATGTCACATTGTCTTATTTTGTTGCCGAATTAAGTATCGATCAATTGAAAAACTTATCACTGACTCTACTGAATAAGTGTTATTATGTTTTTGGCTTATTTTTTCGGAGGATTATTATGTTTTCGGCGTATCCTTTTAGAGGATTTTTCAACTACTTAGTTAGCACTTCACATGATAGACCTATTTATTTTAAATATTTTTAATAAAGTTAAAAGTGTTTTTTTTTAAGTATAGAAAACTTGGGAGTCTATTTTCACCTTATAATAAGAGTTCTATCTAATTATTTGTGCTATGGTCTTTTGCATTTTAATTTTTGATGGATAAGTTAGGATTTAAATTTTTGGAAAAATTGTATTAACCACCCATGAGGTCTTTTAAATGAAACATATCTTATAATTTTTAAGTGAATACTAATTTTTATTTATTTATCTAAGTGATACATACATCTTATATAATATAACATTATTTTGTATTGTTAATACAAAATAAATTATTAATGCAGATATTAATAATTGAATGAAATTTAATCTTTTATTTAATTTTCATGTTCAAATTATATTTTTGATATTTTGTGTGTTATGATTTAAAGAATAAACTTCAAAAAAAAAATTTCAAAGACTGAATTGAAAAACTATTTTCAAAATTGAAGAATAATGAAAAATTCTATAAAGGAGATATAACATTTTATGTAATTCAGAATCAAAAGATAAATGCATAAATAAATTAACTTTTATTTATTTATTTATTTATTTTATCTTTTTCACTTTAATTAATGATGTTTTTATAAAACAGGTGAGTAATATTAAGAAATTAGAGAAAAAGGATGTGTCATTTAAGATGATGCAAAATTTCATAAAAAATTTAAACCTTGAAGGTATATTTTCGGCAAAATTGGAAAGTTATGAAAAGTCGATCACAACATAGAAGTTTAGTCACATCACATCATTGTTTTTTCTATAATACAATTATTATTTTTTGTTTTGTTCTACTTCGTTCCCTTCGTGCAACCTTGAAGGGCACGCAGCTACGAATGTTTGCTTCTTCACTTTGTTTCTTACATGTTCGTTCTGCTTCCTTGTCTACCATTTGCATGGATGCGTTATCGTTTCATATTTCTCTATGGTTGGAAACGACTTCGACATGCGTGTGTTCGTTTTTAACAGATTTTATATTTTGATTATACTTCATTCATGATCAACTCTAAACCATGTGCCATATATCCACATGATAAGTATTATTTGTCCCTATAAATTTTTAACCTATGATTTTAGTTTCCAATGTTAATAGTCTGATTTTGATCTCTTTAATATTTAAAGTTTGATTTTAATCCTACAACATTTAAAAAATTGGTTTTGGTTTTCATAAAATTTAGAAGTTTGATTGCAGTACTCTTCGTAAAATTTAAAGTTTGATTTTAATTTCAAATTAATTTGTTATCTCATTTTAGTCACTTTTTAAATATTAAAATAAATTTAGGAAATGTATTGAATTGAGATTTTAAAATTTTTTAAAAGACTTTTTTTATGATAAAAAAGTATTGTGACATTCTTTTATTAAGATTTTTTAACATAAAAACTTATGTGATATTTAATTAAAATAATTAAAACTTTTTTTAAGAATACATCAAAATTTGATAATATTAATTAAGACAAAAAAAACCTTTTAGGAGTATATCAAAATATGATGGTGTTAAAAAAGATACAAATTTCAATGAATTATTTTAATAGATGGATTTGTAAGATTGTTTTTTAATAAAATTTACATACAATTTAAATAATATCACAAAAATTATTGAAATTTCATATAATTTTATTTCTTGTTTATTTTTTATTTTTTTCTCTAGCTTATTTTGCTTCTCTCTTTTTTTCTTCGGTCACTCTCTTTCTCTCTCATCTTCTCTATTCCCTCTCTTTCTCTTCTCTCTCTTCTCTAACTCATTTTTTTTCTCTCTTTTCTCATGTGTAATGTGTTCTCTATCTAGCTTTTTGGCCAAAATAAAAATAAAATAAAATAAACAAAAAAAAAGTATTTCCCGGTATAAGTAAAAAGGGTCATTAATTACCAATTATTTCGTCTCCTTTATTCCGTTAAATTTCTACAGTGGTACACCAAAAAAAGAGAGTCATTAATTGGCTCATTAAAAAAAAAAGATTAATTACTATGTGGTAACATTTTCTTACGTACTATTGTTGTTTATGACAATGATAAAACAAAAATCTGTTGGACTGTTGCATATAGCTATGAAAGAGCTCGTAGATAAAGCGATTTCCATTGATTCTAGACAACGATGATTCTACATTTAACTATTTAAGTATACATAATACATATAAAAGTGTTGCAAATAATTATTAGTATTTCGCAGTTTTTTTTATAATATGTCTCAACCATAGTTTTTTTTTATTCGAAAATTATTTTATTAATATACATATAGATCAATAGGCAAATTATTTGACTGATATAAATCTAATTAAACATTTTTCCAATTACACAATAGTTACATCTTTTAAGTATAACCAACTTTATATTTAATTATTCATCAATCAAAACCAAAAGATAATTTAACACAATATGTAATATTTCTATTTAAAAAGAAGTGACAATTTGTTCATGCTAATTAAAGATAAAAGACACAGCAACTATCAATAATCTAATCTATAATGTTTGTCTTCAAAGTTTTACAATTTCGTGACTTTTGTTAATAAACTTTTTTCATGAATTTTTCCCTTCAGCATACACAATATCACAAAAGTTATCCGACGCAGGAAAATTGTATTAAAAAATTATCTTATATGTGATGGTTTTAAGAAAAATTAACACAAAATTGTCTTAACTGTGATGTTTTTTATGTGGGTCAAAATTCACGATATATATTTTATAAATTGGAGAAAAGTTAAAAAAAAAATTTAAAATAAAATTGTTAGATTGTAAAATGTTAGAGGTAAGAAGTGTCCTTTTATTCCTGGTAGACATATGTTGGATAGTGTTCTAGTTGCTTTTGAGGCTATTGATTACGCTCATAAATATAAGAAGCAAATTTTTGTTATGAAGATTGATTATGAGAAGGCATATGACTCTGTGGAAAGGGACTACCTGTTGTTCATGCTCCGAGAGTGTGGTTTTCACGAGAGATGGGTCCGATGGATGGAAGCTTGTGTATGTGGGGGAAGCCTATCAACCCTTGTGAATGGGAGTCCTACGGCTGAAGTATATTTGGATAGGGGATTAAAGCAGGGTGATCCGTTGGCACCATCTATGTTCCTAATTACTGCGGAAGGCTTTAGACTGTTGATGAGTAGGGCTTTAGAGATGAATCTGTTTAAGGGATTACACTTGGGAGGTGAAGGTCCGCCGATTTCTCTTTTACAGTTCGCGGATGATACTCTGATTATTGGAGAAGCTACTATGCAGAATCTGTGGTGCTTAAAGGCCATCTTGCGCTGTTTCGAGTTAATTTCAGGCATGAAAATTAATTACCACAAGATTTGCGTGGTCGGTATTCATTCTGGGGCAGATTTCACTAACTTGGCGGCTGCTTTTTTACATTGCAAGGTGGGTAAACTACCGTTTAAGCATTTGGGCTTACCTCTTGGTGCTAATCCTAGGAAGTTGTCTACTTGGAAACCAATGCTTGATGGCTTACGAAAGCGTTTATCCTCTTGGAAGCATAAGTATTTATCCATTGGGGGGAGAGTGACTTTAATTAATTCAGTTTTGAATGCTATGCCCATCCATTTCCTTTCATTTTTTAAAGCTCCAAACTCGGTGATTAAGGAAATTGTGGCCATCCAACGTGATTTCTTATGGAGAGGTGTCAAGGATGGCTCGAAGATTCCTTGGGTAAAATGGGAAACAGTGTGTAAGGCAAAGGTTGAGGGTGGACTAGGAATCAAAGACGTCAGATTGTTCAATTGGGCACTACTAGAGAAATAGGTGTGGAGGTGCATGCTCTCTCCGGGTATGCTGTGGGCTAAAGTTCTTCATGACAGGTATGGTCGTATTGAGTCCTTTCCAAATTGCTCAAATGTGGATAGGAGGGCCTCTTGGTGGTGGAAGGATATAGTGTGGGTGCTACAACAAGGGAATTTTTGGTTGGACGAAAAGACTGAACGTATTGGTGATGACACTATGGCCCAATTTTGGGAGGATAAGTGGATAGGTGGTTTGCGCTTGTTGGATGTCTTTCCTCGTTTGTACTCTTTTGCCTTGGACCCGTTGTCAGTAGTGGCAGATAATGGAACTTGGGAGGGATCTACGTGGGTGTGGCAGGTTAATTGGAGAAGAGAACCTTTTGTCCATGAAGGTAGGAGTGTGAATACCTTGTTGGATATGCTTCAGGGTTTGCAGGTTATCTCTTCAAGGCAAAACTATTGGAGATGGATTTATGATAAGGACGGTGTATTCTCGGTGCAAAGTGCGTATCTTTGGCTACAACGCTCGGTAGGTGTAGAACTCAGATACTCTTCCAATTTTCAACTAGTTATAAAAAGTCTTTGGAAATTTAAGGCTCCGATCAAGTGCCTGGTGTTTTATTGGCAGGTGTTATTGAATGCATTCCCGTGCAAATCTTTGTTACAAGTACGTGGAGTGGAGTTGGATAACAATCTGTTCTTTTTGCTCTCTGTTTGTTGAAGACCCTCTTCATCTCTTTCTAATGTGCCCGATGGCTTTTAATACTTGGTTAGCTGTTGCTAATTGGTTGGAGATTGCGGTGGTATTTCCCAACTCTTTAATTTCTCTTTATTTATATTGGACGAATCTTGGTATATATAAAAAACATTCTCACTTTTTGCGGGTGGTCTGGGTTTCTGTTATCTGGTCACTATGGCTTTATCGAAATGTTATTATCTTTCAGCAAGGTACTACAGATTGCAAGGAAGTGTTGGATAAAATGTCAAGCAATCGATAAATATATATAACGATTTAACTACAAAATTAAAATAACCCCAAGCGTGTGGTTTAGCGATAGGGGTTGATCCACGCTTAGGTAAGGTTAGGGGTTCGAATCCTGTCTTATGTATGTAGTCGCGTTAAGTCTTAGGAACGAACAAAAAAAAAAAACTACGCCTTTTTCTATTCGTGCCATGTGGCCATTTTTACTCATACTGGAAAATAATTTTTTTTTTCGTTTCGTGTATTTTATTATATTTTATTTTTATTTCGGCCAAAAAGCCTCTCCATCTTTTATTCTTTTTCTCCTTTTTGTTCATCTTTATCATTTATTTCTTCTCTCTATTTTTTCTTATATATTTTTTTAATCTATCAATATTTTTTTTGTTACATTTTTATCTATCAATATTTTTTTGTTACATTTTTAACAAATATTTATTTTCAATAAAGTTTAATATTGAAGTATCGAAATTTTTAACATATATTAAAAATATATTTTGACAATTCTGCCTAATATCATAAATTTGAACATATTGTTAAAATTTAATAGTATGAATGAAAAAATATAAATGCTTAAAGGGTTGTATATAAAAAAATGTTATTTAAGAGCAGATGAAACTAGAATTATTTATTTATTAAAAAATTGAAAAAAATTTAATTTTATTTTCTTTATACAAAGCTTGTCATTTCTATATGTAGAAAAATCATATTTCCCTATAAAATTTAATAAAATCCTTTCAAATCTTATAAATTCTCAAGAGACAAATTTATTAAAATTCACATTATAAAATCTTAATTAAAAAAATCTTAAAATCATTATATTTCAACAAATCTTTTCAAAAAAAAAATCTTAAAAATTATTAAATTTTTATAAAGTCTTTTAAAATTTACAATTTTTTTATACTTAAAAAGTTCTTAAAGTAATCTTGTCACACAGAGATTGTAGCATAGATAAGAATTTTTTTCCTTTGCTTATTCGTGACTGAGATAATAGATGGGGTTTCTTTTCCTCTCTCAACCTAGATGTCAAAATTGCCCCATTGTCAAAATTATAAGATAGGGCAACAAAGTCATATGCATAGGGGTTTGTTTTCTTAATTACATAGTAGATTGTAGGGTTTGGCTTTTTGTCCACTATCACCAACAATTGGCCTTTTGGACTCAATAAAAACACGAGAATTCGGACTTTTTTTTTTTTTTTTTTCATTTTCAATTCCTTAAATAATATAAAAAAACTTGTTTTTTTTTTTTTTTATAAAGAAATTGCTTATAGTGACACGTGTAAAAAGTCTCCTTGTATATTACCTACCTAATTTTGTACAAACAACTTCTCCCTCCGATCCATCCTTAATATTTTAGATTTTCTATTTTGTTCCAGAATAAATTTATATTTTACACATTCAAAGTAATATTAATTAACTTCTTCTATATATACAGGTATATAACATTCAAAGTCATGTTTTTAAACGAAGATATTTTAGACTTAATATACTAATATTAAATATTTCTTAAAAAATTTAAATACTTTATAAAAAAATTATGGTCAAGAGAGAGAATATCCTATAAAAACCAGAAAACCATTTAAGCCAATATTTAATTTCATTAAAAAATAATAAGATTTTACATATAATTGTGTGCTACGGTGTTCATTGACAACATTTAAGAACAAAGTGCACCCCAACTCACCTCACCTTCCAGTTTCTTGTTTCCAACCAACCAAATTATACCTTAGTTACAGAAATAATTGAGACGAAATACTATTCTATTAGTCCTTTCTTAGTTTCTTTGATACAATACCAACACAGACTCTGCAAGTGAATGTCAGAACGAAAATAAATGGAAAATGTTATGAAACATGCGATAAGAAATGTGATAAGAGAGAAAGAGAGAGGAAAAAGAAATGGGTCAAAAGGTAATGAAAGAGAAAAGGAGTGTATGTTTGTTTATAATGATCCAAAATATATCACAATTAATGCAAGTCCAGTGTGCATGGAAATGATTAAATTTTTGAGCAGTGGTTGACATAATCACTACCATAAAACAAAGCTTTTATTGTAATTTCTTAATTGATGAGCAAGTAGAGTATGAAGTAACTAAAACTAGCGAGCGTCCTTAGATAAGAGAAGGTCATCCACTTTTCGGGCATTGCAGAGCTCATCGGCACAATCACCTCTCTCAAAAACAGCAGCTGCTCCCATTCCAGTACCTATGCACATAGATATAACTCCAAATCGACAGTCCCTGCCACGTTTCTTCATCTCGTGCAACAGCGTTGCCACACATCGGGCACCTACACAAAACAATGATTAACATGATTCGACCTCTTGCCTATGTCTATGAAAACATCTTAATATATATTCATTATATCAAATATTCACCCCATTATAAGTTTTATGATCAAATTTCATAAACCATCTTTCTTTAGGTTGGATAACTCTTTTCATCTCGAGAACTTCTATCTATACACACATTTTAATCTTAAAAGAGGAAACAAATTTCTTAAATAAAGATAATATTTTGAAGTCTTAACAACACCCTAAGATTTAAAATTGAAAATTTGAATAGTTCTCCCAATAACCAATGACAACTGAATCAGCAAGAGAACTGATTGAAAATAATGGCCTAATCATGGTTAAAATATGGTTGAACCAGAGTGTGATTGTATTTTATATTATTGTACAATTCTTATTTTATATTAATATCATCAATATTTGGCTCAAATGTTAATTCTCAATTATCTAAGTTAATAGTTTTAAGCTTCAGGGCAAGTAACAGTTGTTATTTTTTAACATAAAGAAAAATTTTATATAATTACACATCATACTCTAAAGAGCATAGTAATCAACAGACTCACTTGGTTTAGTGGCACATCAATCACTTTACATCCGAGGGGTCCAGGCTTTAAGTACTTATTTTCCCATTTTCGTGTTAAAAACTAATATATCCTCATCTAGTCCAGTTGTACTGAGCCAGTTTAAGGTTGTTTTGTATTGGACTGGTTCCCAATTCAACCACTATAATCAGCCAGTCATTTTTCTTACCTATGCTGAGCATATGTTTAACACTTATTTGATCAAGTACCTCAAAGAAAGGGAACTTCTGTAGGCCACTAGGACTAAATTGTAGTTTTTTATTTTATTTTTTTATTAACTTTAAGCATCAAAATTATAGTTTGTCCCTCAACCACTTTCCCATTTGACCCGTACACCTTCAATCATAAAATCAACAATCAGTTCATCCCAAAATTTTCAAATTTGCATGATATTCATCACATCATGCTAAACCTTTTACAGTAAATTCTTTATGATCATTAGCTACTTCAGCTACAGGCAAAATCTATCTTGCATAGGTATGTAGGTATGGGTAACTTCCAAAAAGAAAAGGATATGATTAGTATTAATTTATATAATAAATGAAAAAGGCTGAATGCTTTTGTAGTCAGCAGTTGTGCTGTTACTATTGGAATGACAATGTAAGACTAAAAGTTCTGGAATGCACCTGTTGAACCAAGAGGATGCCCAATTGCCATTGCACCTCCATTAACATTGATCTTTTCTGGATCAAGCCCTAGCTTGTTGCGGCAATACACGAACTGGGAAGCAAATGCCTTAACAAGCAAATTACTGCAGTGAGTATATAGATACAAACAGAGAAAAAGGAAAATATAACAAACACGTTGATCAAATACCTCATTTATTTCAAAAAGATCAATATCATCAAGCTCTAGACCTGCGGCCTTCACAGCAACTGGAATCGCAGCAGCAGGGCCGATACCCATGATAGCAGGATCAACACCAACTGCAGCAAAAGTCCTACATGATAGCCAACAAGTAATTTTCTTTGGATTAAAATAAAGCAGAAATTTTATCCTATCAATTATTCAATTTCATTTTAACTTTTAAGTACACTGATAATATGGTTTATGCTATTAAGATGGAACACAATTTATTATGAGGATATATATGTGTATATAATTGAAATTCAAGATCCGTGAATTGTAGTCTTCCTAGATAATATTGTATGAGTAATGAGGAACTAAAGGGATTGACTCTTGTATTTAGGGATTCTAGTGTCATGCAACTTCCTTTTTATTTTTCTAACAGGGATATGGTCATATAACAGAGTGGACATAACAGGAATTTGCCAGCGCTTATTTTTTTAATGTTTTGAGTTAGTGTAATTATACTTGATGAATCGAGCACTCTACGCTGAACACTTGTGTCGTTGCTGGTATAGCTGGCAATAAAATTGGTACTAACCTAGTAGGACTTGATAATCAAATAAATACAACCACCATAAGAAGGAACTAGATATATCATATATAAACCAGGTGAAGTATAAATATATGTTGTCTGGCCAAAACAAAGAAAAGTTATATTATTCTGACGTGTTTAATAATTTAATATCCATCCAAAATAATATTCTTCAATTTTTTTTTAAACTTATACCAGCAGGGACATCTATTGGCCCTTCCTCTCATCATAGAGGCACAGTATGTCAATTTAAAGTCAGTAAATATTGCAAGGGACTAAATCTTCTACGTCACATATTAAGTACCTGAATACACCAAGAATGGGGAGCCCCTTTTGCACCGCAACACTTCTTTTCATCAGCAGAACAGCTGCAGCACCATCACTCACCTGGCTAGAATTACCTAAAGCAAAGGCATCACATGATTGAACTTAGTATATCAGCTAGAAAGGATTTGAGGAAATGAACCAGGATTTTATGATCTTGTACCAGCAGTAGTGCTTCCATCCTTCTTGAACACAGGTTTCAGCTTCCCTAGATCAGACAATGTTGTGCTAGGTCGAATTCCATCATCAACAGAAATGGTGACAGATTTTTCCTCACCAGTTTTTGGGTCCACAATCTGTTGGGGAAAAAAGAGAGTTTTATTAAACACCCAAGACCCAAAAGGAAGATTCAATGTACCCTGTAATGGCATATACCTTGGTGGAAACTGGGATAATTTCATCTTTAAATTTACCGGAAGCAGTAGCTGCAGCAGCTCGCCTGTGAGACTCAACCTATCAACATTATTGTTACAAAGATTCAGTTAAGAGTTGTTAAAATTTAAAATAGAACAAAATTTTGCATTAATTTAAAGCATATATCCAACTTACTGCAGCCTGATCTTGTTCCTTCCTTGAAACCCCAAAGCGATGTGCAACATTTTCAGAGGTAATCCCCATAGGAAGAAGGCAGTTTTGTGCTTGTTCAAACATTTTTACCTGTCACAACACCGAACAAAATATCATAACCTTGTAGCCATTTTAGAGGTTTTATTTTCTAAATCCATTATTAAAACTTTATAATAAAGCAGAGGACATGGAATGAGGAAAAGAGGGAGAGATAAATACTTTAGGATTGACTGATCCTTCCCATGCCATTGGATTAGCTGTCATAGATTCCAAACCGGCACCAATACCTAACCAAAATAGTTAAAGGTAACATAAGATACTAAAAGTTATAGTTATCACCAGAAGAAAAAGCAATATGACGCATCCTTTACCAATCTCATAGAATCCAGCCCTTATAGCAGCAGCTACATCGGCAACAGCCTGGAGCCCAGATGAACATTGCCTATTAACAGTCCTAACAGGCACAGTTTCTGGATCAAAAATAACATCACAAGTATCAATAAAAAATCAGAGTCACATATCAGGTTCATAAGCACAAATTATATGGACATACCAGGAAAACCAGCATAAAATGCAGCCATTCGGCATTCACTAGCTCTTTGAGATCCAGGAGCCAATACAGTACCCACAACAATATCCCCAACTTCGCCTGGGTTCACATTGGTTTTCTCAACTACAGCCTACAATGAAATCTCAACATTACATTCATGTAGATTGTTGACAAATATACATCAATATTTAATAAACCAGAATATTAATCAAAGTACAAAGCAAATGAACATAGATCATCACAACTTAAGAAAAGCAGTGATTCAATTGAACTCATTTAAAATTGCAGATGCAAAAGAAATAAAAATAAAAATAAAATGAATAAAACCTTCAAAACAGGAGCCAGTAGATCATCAGCATGAGTGTCTTTGAAACCACCACGTTTAGATTTGCAATGAGCAGTCCGATATGCACTGCAAAATTGCCAATACATAATTTAGGTAAAAATTAAAGATATCACAAACACATGCTCACAATCCATAGCTAAACACTCAATTATTAAATAACAGGTTTAATACATCACAAGGACTTATTTTTTTGTAAATCTTTGATCTTCAACAACTTTTATAATTGGGTCGCTGCAGATATCAGAAAATAAGAATTTGTAACGGTTTTACCAACTCCATGGACTCATTCACAAAAAATGTAGAAGATCAAGAATCCAGTTACAAATATTTTCAGTTTAGCGACCTAATTAAAATTTTCCAAAAAGTTCCAGGACTTGGAGATGTATTAAACCTAAACAAAACACATGTTTAACTTGAGATAGTTGTCAAAAAAAAAAAAAAAAACTTGAGAAGTGAGATATTTCATTTGAGGAATAGAAGAACTTACGCAACAATCACAACATCATCCCCAAATGTAGATGTCCTTTGATAAGCAGCACTATCCCCCGCCAAACATGCTGAAGCCTAGTGATCAAATGTTCAACATACAAAACAATCAATTGGCCGCACATAAACACATATACATATTGTTTAGTGATAGATATGCAACTAAAGCCTAACAATCAATCAAGGAAACCATGAGTTGCAAAAGAGTCACCATGTGTACTTTTTCCCAAACACCATACTATAAAATCATAAATATATAAAAGATCAAAACTTATATAAATTCTGATACAAGTGTCAAAAGGGTACTTCCCTCACATGCCAAACGAGTGAAACAAAAACCTATTAAATGAGCATACAGACGTTCAAGACCAAAACTTTGATAAAATTATGATCAAACAATGAACCAAGGGAGCTGATTGAGGCAAAATTAGCAAAAGGGTAGTTTCCCAGAAACCAAACAAGCTATCAGACGAAAAGGGTAAGGATGAAAACGCCATATGAGAAAAGAGGAATTGAAAATTGAAATCAGAAAAGGGAGTGAAACTAACATAGAGGGAGGACGAATCCGTGGATGATGAAGGGTTGAGATGGTGAAGCAAAATCTTCTGTCTGTTGATCGCTTTCTCCATCTTCTTTGTGATTTGGAAATTGAAGCAAACTCGCAGAGAAGGAGTGGTGAGATTGAGAGAAAGAGAGATTTGATTTGTTCACTTAGTTACTTGCATTTATTCAGCCTCTCACGGCACAAGGAAGCAATATAAAATAGATAATTTATTATTTTTATTATATTATTATTATTGCATCTCCTGTTCTATATATAGAAGATTTGAATATTCCATTAAAAAAAAAATAAAATTAATGATATTCAACTAGAGCCTTGAGTCTTCTACTGATTAAGGGCATGTTTAGTTAAAACATAATAGAAAATATTAAAAAAATATATTAAGTGCATGTTTAGCCTTGTAATCTTTAATAAATATTCAAAAATAATAGAAAATAATTAGAAAAAGTAGAGTAAAAATACATTTTTTTTAACATTTCAATGAATACTATGAATAATTCTAAATCCTCAAATTACTAATGTCAATTTAGTGGTAGAAAGTTAGAGCATGAAAATGAGATAAAATGTTTATTCTTATTATAATTTTGATAGCTAAAAAAATTCTAAATTTTTTTAAAAATATCTTCTACTTCTCTCACAATTTTTTAATATAAGTATTGAATTTTTTTTTTTATATTCTTTAAAGTTAAATATTTATTTAAAACTTTTCTTACAAGAAGGATTTGAAAGAATATTAGTTGGAGAATATATTAATATATTAATATTAAGATTTTTGAAAAATAAAAGTAATTATGGTAATGACTAATGAAGAAGAAGAAATAAAAAGTGGGAACCAGAAAATAAGAGGGAGGGACCAATGATGATAACAATGGCGTTGGTGTCCTCAAAGATAGGTTTTGCTGGCGCGTGTTTACCACTTTCACTCATTTATTTTGGGTCTATAATTTTATATGAGAAAATTTCATATTCTCTGAAATTATAATAATTTGTCTCCTAAATTAAATTTAAATATAATTTTATTATGATAGTCATGTGATTTTAATCTCATAAATTTTAATTAAATAATTTTAGTGTTTGAAGTTTTATAATTATATAATTTTAGTTTTTTAAATTTTAAATGATTAGTTTTAGCTAAATAAATATTACAATTTGGTGAGTATCACAATTGAATGATCTTTAACTTGTTAAAGTTGTATATATTATTAATTTTAGTAAAAAATAAATATATATTATCTAGTATATGAATAAAAATTATAGCATATTTAATTTAAATAGATAAAAAATTATATAATTGCAATATTTGAAAAACTAAAATCATACAAGTGATATAATTAAAATTATCCAATTAAAATTTAAAAGACTAAAAAATTACAAAATTATAATACTTAAAAAATTAAAATTGCTCAACTAAAACTTTGAAAATCAAAATAATAACTTTATTTAGTATCTATACTAATTCAAAATAGAAAAACTAAATAAAATTCATTAATTTTTTTATTATCTAATTTTTTTAAGCATCATCTAGTCTTTTTGATTGAATCAATTGAGAATTAATGCAAATTAAAAAAAGTAATATTTTTTATAAAATAAATTACGTTTTTTTCAGATACAATTTTTTTTATATGTAAATATTAGTGATTAATATATTATATTAGTTGGAGATTCAAATCAACACTATCTTATGAATAGTCCTTATGTTATATTAATTTGTATATTTATTGAATAGGATAAATAATACTTAATTAAAAACATTGATTTATTTAGATATTTATTAAAATATTTTGTTAACAATATCAATTAAATAATATTTTAATACTTATATATTAATTTTAATACATATGATTGATACTATAAAAATATCATTTTATTTAAATATTTATAAAATATTATATTAATTGCAACGATTAAATGTTATTTTATACTTGCATTTAATTTTATTATACATTATATATATATATATATATATATATATATATATATAGAGAACTATAAAAATATTTTATAAAAAAA